TCTTTCATACAATGAGTATTTCACACTTATTATCTTCATTCCTATTATTCTTCTGTCTGAAATGGCTTCCCCTTCGTTTTTGACTAGCAAATTTCAAACATTCAAACTTTCAAAATTTCTAATAATTTTTATTTGAGCTAAAACTTTTCCTATTATTTAGATATCATTCATCTTACTAATATCTATGGTATTAGGATATTAGTCATATTTAGATTCTGATTTGATATTTCATTTTGTAAAATGTATATCTTCTTTTTCTTTTTCACACTCCTCCAACTTTCCATATCAATCATGAGTATTAAATATTAGTACATTAATACTTTTGTATATATTTCATTAAATTAAATTAATTTTAAAGTGTAACGTATTTATTTTGTGTAGGGACTAGGTATATTATGTCAATCAGAATGATATCTTCCTAATTTCCTTTTCTTTAGGTACCTATAGACTGGATACATGGCTCACACTAATGAATCAATAGTGTCTGAGTTTGTGCTTCTGGGACTTTCTAATTCTTGGGAACTTCAGCTTTTCTTTTTTGCCATCTTCTCTACAGTCTATGTGACATCAGTATTAGGCAATGTCATGATTATTATTGTCATTTTCTCTGACTCCAACTTGAACTCTCCTATGTACTTTCTGCTCAGTAACCTTTCTTTCATTGATATCTGCCAATCAAACTTTGCCACCCCCAAGATGCTTATGGACTTTTTCATTGAGCGCAAGACTATCTCCTTTGAGGGGTGCATGGCCCAGATATTCCTTCTTCATAGTTTTGTTGGGAGTGAGATGATGTTGCTTGTAGCTATGGCATATGACAGATTTGTAGCTATTTGTAAGCCCCTGCACTATAATACAATTATGAACCAAAGGCTATGTATAATTTTTGTGTCTGTTTCCTGGGCAGTGGGTATTCTTCATTCTGTGAGCCATTTAGTTTTTACAGTGGACCTGCCATTCTGTGGCCCCAATGAGGTAGACAGCTTCTTTTGTGACCTTCCTCTGGTGATCAAGCTGGCTTGCATGGATACATATGGAATGGAAGTTATGACCCTGACTAACAGTGGCCTGATATCTTTGAGCTGTTTTCTGGCTTTAATTATATCCTACACTGTCATTTTGATCACAGTCCGGCATCAGTCCTCCAGTGGGTCATCTAAGGCCCTTTCTACGTTAACTGCCCACATCACAGTAGTAATTCTTTTCTTTGGACCTTGTATTTATTTCTACATATGGCCCTTTAGCAGACTTTCAGTGGATAAGTACCTTTCTGTCTTCTACACTGTTTGTACACCCTTGTTGAATCCCATCATCTACTCTCTGAGGAATGAAGATGTTAAATCAGCCATGCGGAAGTTGAGAAACCGTCATGTAAACTCCTGGAAGAACTAAGATTTCCAAGAGGGAGCCTGATCTTGAATTAGAATGAGTTTCCTGTGGATCCTAGCACCATATCAACTGTCTTTGTTAGTGTTATTGAGTTATAGAAATGACCTTTTGTCTTAAATGCAAGGACTACTTAAAACCAGTTTCTGGTTCTATTTAAATATCACTTTAGCCATTTTTTTCATTTTGTATAATTCTCAAGTATAAATTGTCTTGAAAATATTTGCTAACAGTTTTAAAATATTTTGTAAGGAATTTTGATATTCTAATATGTATTAAGTATTTATGTTACTAAACTAGTAACTTTTTTCAATTAAACAAATATTTTTATACCTCAGAATCAAAAATAATTGAATTCCTGACATCTTTTTTCAGCTTATTTATAACATTATCACATATATTGTTATGGTAGGAAAAAAATGCCCTATTTTACAATAAGAAGCTCACTTTTCATGTACATTAATTATTTTGGTTATTTATACTCTACTTACACATTTGTTTACTTATAATATCTTTACTGCTTTATTATCATAAAATTTTTGTACTTTTTTTTATGTTTCTACTTATTATAAAACATTTTCTAGGTAGTTGTTGCCATTACCAACATATGCATCTCTATTGCAAGTCTACTTGTTTTTATAATAGAATAAATTGATTATAAGGAATTTTATATTATTCACAGAATGTTGTAAACATTTGAAGTTATTTACAAATATGACAAATGTTAAATATATAAATTCAAATAAAAAGTTAATTCCATTTGTATCTAAAACATACAAATACACAAAGTAACACTGATTATTTGCAATACAGACCCAAATCTATTCTTACATATTTCTTTGAAAATAGAAGTAAAATAAAATTGATGTGCATCTAATAATAAAGATGAAAAGCATCTATCAAGTATTGTTTGATTTCTTAGCTAACAAATTTCCTATTTATTCTCCCACTGAAATTTTCATTTTAAAAAAAAGAATTTGGATCATATTAGGTGCATTTTAACAATGGAAAATGGAACTGTTTATCAAAAAACAGAAAACCTTCAATTGTTATCACTCCAAACTCAATATTTTATTTATATTCTAAGTGGTTATGTGCATAGGTATTAACTCTGTATGCTAAATGTCATTGCAAGCAGAAATTTAGTGTAGAGACACAGGCTTGTTGAACCATCAAACTATAACTTTGGAATTTTGGACAACTTCATTTGTACAATGCCAAATATGGTAATGATCTCTTATACTTGACTTTCTGTTGTATATTTTGTATGGTGCTGAAAATATTCTTGCATATACAATAAACATGAAAGCAGTCATAAAATTGTTGGTAGTGTTTTTATTCCCTATTTCCTGCTCATGAGAGGCATTGACTATACAAATTTATTTCACTGCTTGATTCTTTGCCTTTTCATATAAAAGATTAAGTAGTTAATAACTATTTCATAGGAACTACAAGAGGCAAGAAGATGTAATTGAAATAACACTAACAGAGTAGAAAACACTACACAAATAGTTGTAGTGCTCTTACTTTTGAACAAGTAGTTCTGTAGACGTCTAAACAGGTAATCAATTCTTTGTAGATATGATTTTGCCATTTCTGCTATCAACTGAACTACATTCATGATGCATGTACACACTCCCTCTGACTGTTTTCCCTTCCCATTGTATTAAAATGTATAGCTTTAAAGTTAGAATTTTGCAGTGTTCACTTATTAGCATCAATTTGGATTTCAATATTTGTGCAGTACATTGATTTCTAGGACTGCCATAACAAATTTCCACAAAATGGGTGGCTTAAAACAACAGAAACTTATTATCCTATAATTCTGGAGGCTGGAAGTATAATAGCATGGTGTTGGCAGAGTTTTTTTTTTTTTTTCCTGGAGTTCTGAGGTAAAAAATAGTCCTGTGATAGTCTTATAATTTTATGTGTCACCTTGACTGGGTTGAAAGTTGCCCATCGAGATGGCTAAACATTACATTTGTGTCTGTGAGGGTGTTTCCAGAAGAGATTACCTGTGAGTCAGTAGATAGAGTGAGGAAGATCTGTCCTCACCAATGTAGGAAGATATCCAGGTAGAGTAAAAAGACTAATGAAGGGCAAATTCTCTCTCCATGAGCTGGGACCTCT